GACTCTAACACCAACATTTCGATAACGGATAACAGAGGAAAAGAATTGATAGATACAGACGTATTTATTTGGGACGAAGCACCAATGGCACCACGGTATTGTATGGATATACTCGATAGAACTTTGCGAGACTTCACACGTTGTAACTTACCCTTTGGAGGTAAAGTTATGTTGCTCGGTGGAGACTTTAGACAGATTTTACCTGTCTTACGCAATTCAAACAAAACGTCAACACTGTATTCAACAATAAAATATTCGACTTTGTGGAAACACTTTAATCATTGTCTGAAAACATGCGCGCCACACCCCAAGCTATAAAATGGACTAAATTCTTACTCGACCTCGGCGAAGGACGGCTCAACGACCACGACGACATGGTAGAAGTGCCTGAAAACATGGTTTGTACGGACGATTTAGTCGAAAAGATTTGCGGAGATATCATAAGAAACAATGACATCGAAATGCTCAAAACTACCGCAATCCTTGCTGCAAGAAATTGTGACGTCGACGAAATAAATGAGAGAGTTGTTGACTTACTCGACGAAAAGACTGAGCGAATCTACTCGAGCATTGATGGTGTCGAAGACTCGGACAAAGAAAAGTTCAGTGAAATGGTGACACCCGAATACTTAAACACTTTGCGACCACGATCACTGCCCCCACATAATTTGCGTCTACGTAAGAACGCTATTGTCATGTTGGTACGTAACTTAAGCGTTTGCGAAGGATTAGTTAACGGAACACGTTTATTAGTACAGCAGATGACCAACAACCTCCTTCAATGTATGGTCATAACGGGAGATCATTGCGGGGAAATTGTTTTCATTCCACGTATAAAACTATATTGTGACAGTGAATACCCATTTACTATGTGGAGACGCCAATTCCCCGTAACGCCTGCCTTCGTAATCACTATCAACAAAGCTCAGGGCCAAACGTTCAAAAGAATTGGCATTTATTTGGAACAGGATGCTTTCGCACATGGACAAATCTACGTCGCATTTTCACGTGCACCAAGCGATAATTGTGTATTTGTCTATCTAAAAAAGGGACGAAAAAATAATCTCATTAAAAACGTTGTCTACAGAGAAATATTGAACGAACAGAGTATGAGTTGCAGGAGAACAAAAGACATTAAACAAAAAGAAGGAAAGCGAAAAATTGAAATTAATCTTGACGAAATTAAAAGTGAAGCAGTTGAACATGCAGTTAAACGTGTAAAAGTTGAAGGGAATATAAGAACAATAAGTGTTACAGAGGATGAACAGCCTATACGGAGAGTGAAGCAGAATGAAACGACGATTACACGTGAAATTGTACCAACTATCGAACATTTCAAACTAAACCCCCCATTCGGGGGGGTTAGTTTAGTTTCTTACTCAGGGGTTAAAACACTTGGATGAGACACTAAACTAACTCCCCTTTGGGACTAACCAAGGTTGGTTGCGTTTTACAAACTTGACAACCCCCCCTAGGAGCTCCGAAAGGAGCGCCCTGCTCTAGTTTGTATTATAATTTGCAATTTGTGACCTGTGTTCTGTATAACATTGCGTTAATGCTGGTTTAGGGATTCATGAACCATTTTACCATGTTTCCAGACATAACTTTGCTAGGTTATTGACCTCTTACTCTTTCCTGTTGAATACGATCTTTGTTTGAAATGTGGAAAGACTGGTGATAAGGCCTTGCCTGTCCGGGATAAATATTTGAAGATGGAGTATTATAAAACATTACATTGTAGTTGCAAAAGCAGCCATTAGTTTTCCCAGGTTTTTCTTAAAATTAACTGTACTCGAATCACTTGTATATTATGACAATCTTCCATTTACAAGTGAAATGGATACTAAAAGTTCATAAGGATATGACTTTACACACCTTTATTGTCGCATGAAATCGGAGGTCACCACAGGCCTTGATGTTTTATTTTCTGGAATGTGAAAAAAAATGCTCATACCAGTTTACTGTCATGGTTATCAGAATTGTGTGCAAACATCCATGAGCCCTAGATAGCATATGTCAATATGATGTATCTATTGGTAATTTTAAGTGTTGTAGGGAGAGAGCAGCTCAGACTTTTTCATGTGTGTTATAGTTTGGAGCTTCCACATGGATTCACTCAGGTTTATAATTTGTTTTTCTGTACATCTATAGATGTACATACATAAACATATTCATCCTGTGCCTTCTTGCAATCATTGCACCTTAAAAAATATTCTAAGGTCTATTTATTATAAACCACTGTCGTGGTTATGCCTTTACATATTTCTGTAGTCGCATAAGATATGTTCTGAATGTAATATAAGCAGGTGGGTGATTAAACATTTTCACATCAGCACTAGTAATTTAATCTTGTTAAGGAATATGCTGAAAGTTTAAGTTATAACTTGTTTTATCTGGGGTGAAATCTATGGAAAAATTGTTTATAGGCAGAAGGTTAACTGGCTGAAAACAAGAATTATGCTACGCACACATGTAACCTAAATTTTTTTTCAATGATTCGAGGCTTATTTAAGAGTTGAGAATTTCCAGTTTCTAGTTCTTACATGCACATTTAAAATACTAAAAAAAAAAATGTAGCTTAGTGGTTCATTCTAAGTGAGCATGCTCACTAAGAATGAAGTACTCTGCATGTCACATAAATGTGGTCTCTAGTACAGCACAGTGAAGCATATGGAACATGTAGAATGCACTGTAGTTCAGTAAGGAAATAAATAAATGTGAGGTACTTTGAGTACAAATTTGAATGTAACTTTTTCAGATCTGTGATCCCAATTGTATTGCTGTTTGTAGCACATTGTGTTGTTATGCAACAGGATCCTTGCAACCTCAAGCAGACCTGCAGTGCCTGTATCCAAGAACCTGGTTGTTTTTGGTGTAGTGGTCCTTTGTTGGTATGTTAATGGAGTGAACTTACAGTACATATATTTCTCAAGGAAAATTTTATTTGTTGTTATACCCTTTGTATAATTTCCATCAGCAACATAACAACAAAACTGTTTTGTTGTTAAACACAGATTGAGGGACTTGGGGCAGTGAAAATGTCAGTTGTGTTCTTCTGGTTTGTAACTCTGTGTGATCTTGTGGTTAGCTACCAGTGTTCTGGAATAACATACCACCACATTCAGGAGTGAAGCCTACATGTGTGGCATAAAGTGTGTATGAAACATTGGTAACTAACTAGAAGACAACATGGTGTGACAACCTAGAATACTACAATAAATACCAATTAATAAACTACTGAACAGGATACCAAATTCATTCACTTATGTGCAGAATGGAACAGAACAACGATGTAGCCAAGAGAAAGTGAACTGTAATGAGAATTATATAGTGGATCCTGTCACTAACTACACAGAACTTAAGAAGGAAAACACTGTGTCTGATGTCAATCAAATAACTCCACAGGAGGTGCATCTCAGCTTGAGAATCAGTGAGTGAATAATACCTTTAATTAACATTTTAAAATTGTAATTTCCTAATTTAAAGTATGAACTTGTTGAATAAGTGATTAATTATTTTCTGCTAATTGAAGACTGTGTTATGGTATTATTTTGTTTTAGTTTGCCCATTTAAAATTTTGTTGGATACTATTTTCCTCGCTGCTTTCTGATTTAAATAAAGCTGTGTTGTAAACCAATTTGTAAGAGTCATAGTTATGTTTCATTGAGTGATAAGTTATCTGATGCTCTTCATGAAAACAAAAGGTAATTAATGTATGTTTAATCCAAAGTGCAAATATATGTCTTCTACAGGGCATTCTATAATCACAGATGTAAGAGAGGAAGTAGCAGTTGGATAATGAAAAATTATATAATGATACTGTTCTCCAAAAAATGATTGCATTAGGGTGAACATATTAATGATGATTCAATGGATACAATATATAGCAAGCATGTGGAGAGCAGATGCAGTTATAATAACCACAATGGAGTAGATAACTTGAGAGATAGGAAAGGGTTGATTATATTAAAATGGATCATGAAGAAATAGGGTGTGAAGAGGATTCCACTGGCTTAAGGCAGGATTCTGTAGTGGACTTGCGAAAATGGTAATGAATTTGGGGTTGTGTGAAAGTTGAATTTTTTAATCTGTTTAGCATCTTTTAGCTTTGCGAGAAAGACTGCTCTTTGGAGTTGCTAAGTTTTAAATGTCACAATCTTATTTTTGAGTAAATATTGCATAAATGGTCCATTGTATTTTACTCTTCCAATAAATGTTCTCTTCTTGTACTTTACAGTGGGGACCTTCCTATTTAACCTTTAACTGCCTTATTGTGCATTAAAGGCTCTTCTCAATCATCATTCTCTCCAATATTGTTCCTAATTTGACTGCTACAGGTATAATTAAACCATCATTTTATGTTGTTAAAAGTTTCCCTCTGTGTTTGTAATTTCTGTCTGGATTTTGTTAGAATTTGTTCTTTCGCCATGTTCTTTTATAGTGCTATTTTAAAATTTGTCATTGATGTAGTTCTTATTCCATTTCTTTTTTGGTAAGAAAATTGTAATGTAAGGTCTTCCTCTTGAAATGCATTTCAGCTAAAATCTCAACAGTCCTCCATATGTTTCTGTGTCATGATGATATAGTCATGTAAATTTGAATTCTCATATCTTGAAGCTATGTTGGGTTGTAATACATAGGATTTTTATGTCTTGCTGTTTTTTATTAATAGACTTTTCTCCTTTATCATCTGAGTTGAAAATTCTCTTCAGAGTCTTATTTGTCTTGTTTTACAGATAAACCATTCAACATTACATTGAAATATTCACAGGCAGAATATCCAGTGGATTTGTATTACCTCATGGATCTGTCTTATTCAATGAAGGATGACAAAGACATGTTGCAGATTCTTGGAAGAAACCTGGAAGAGCTCATGACAAAATTTACTTCAGATTTCCAATTAGGGTTTGGGAGTTTTGTTGATAAGATTGTCAGACCATATACCAACACTTTGCCTTCCAAGTAAGAACCATTTCTCATTGCTGAAAAATAGACAATAAAATTATGATGAATCTATTCATTCTTTTCACAAAATATATAAAACTATCATTTAATCGGAAGGTCATGTCTGTCCATGTGTCTATATTTCATCTATGAAAATAAAGAATTAATTTAGTTAAAATTTGTTTGTGTGTTTCTACATTTAAAGTTTTCAAGTGGAATTAATTTTGATTTGTATAGGTCAATGTAGCAGGAGCCGGGATAGCTCAGTCAGTATAGTGACTAGCTACGTACTGGACGACGGGGGCAAAGGATTTTTCCTCTAGCCCCTGTGTCCAGACCGGCTCTGGAGCCCACCCAGCCTCCTGTTCAATGGGTACCGGGGTCCTTTCCCCGGGGTAAAGCGTGGCCGGGGCGTGATGCTGACCACTTATCTAGTGCTGAGGTCAAGAAAGAGTAGGAGCTATACCTCCAAACAACCTATATGGCATGTAGTAGGATGGTTTATAGGACAATGTAGCCCCTAATTTGCATGCTGTTCAAATAAGGCTTTATTGATATTATCAGTGACTCATTGTAAAAAATTATTTATACATAACACAATAAAGTTCTGAGCACAACATCTGTTTTGAATTTTTTTTGGATGTGATAAATATTTAATGGGAAGAAAAAATACATTTGTCAGTGTAACATAATGGTGCTGATGATCGGAGTTCATTTGATTTTCTTTCTGTTATTGAAGAATGTACTTAGTTGTACATCAAAATATTATTTGATTTTTATTATTTTCAGTACTTATGTATATACAATATTCATTCAGAGTTCAGATGTTATGTTGTATAAATAATTATAGACTAGCAACTAAAATGGTGTATTAAAAGTTTTTGTAGGGTTTGAGGTTTTCACGGCTCAACAACCCAGATGACAGCCATCTTCAAAAGAGTTTTTGAAGTAAAATGAGTCTTTGTGTTCTGAAAAGATATATCTTGGTACATTGAGTTTTATTTGTCCTTCTTTTATTTGTATGTAGGATGAAGGAACCTTGCGTGGGCTGCAGAGCTCCATATGGCTTTCACAATCACATGAAGCTCAGTGACAATGTGACACACTTTTTTGTAAGTGCAGTTTATTTCCTTTTTTTATGTTCAGTGATTGCTGTTTTTGTAACAAGTTTTGGTTATGTTGTGTGTGTGTGCCCATATATTTGTTTATATGTTTAAATATGTGCAATGATTTATTTTAGCTTGAGGTTGGTGATGCAAGTGTGTCTGGAAATATAGATGATCCAGAGGGAGGATTTGATGCCTTGATGCAGACTGTAGTCTGCTCAGAAAAAATTGGTTGGAGAAGAAATACTCGTAGGTTGTTGGTTTTCTCTAGTGACAATGGCTTTCATATAGCAGGTGATGGAAAGGTGAGTTCTCAGAACTGTGAAGATAGCGTTTTGCCATAGCAAGATTTTGTCCAGTGTGAAAGCTACTTAGGCACATACTTCTCATATATTTATTATTGAGCTCTCATTTTAAAATGATGTCACCTTCATAATATATTTATGATTTTCAGATGGGGGGGGTGGGGGGTGTTCCACTAAAAGTATGTTGAGTCGTTAATGACGACATGGAAAGTTAGACTTCCAGACATATATCCAGTAAGACAAATAATTTGCATTTGACCTATTTTTCTGTTAATTGGGTTGACAAGATAGGAATAGTGTGTGTCAGAGGATGTGTGTTAATGTTATAAAGTGCCCTTTATTGATGCTTTAAACTTTGTTGACCATGTGTTACATTAGCATACTACTAAACCATTCACCTTTGAGTTAAAATCTGGCTGGAATTTTGGGACTTTAGTTATCCTGTTTCTGAATTCTGAAGTAAAACCACCATAAAGTACCACACTTCAAATGTAGGGAGGTGGAGGCTAAAGTTTGCAATGCCAGCAATATTATTTGTGACTTATGTTTAGTATATTTCTTTCTTTCTTCCCCATAAACCACCAAATTTGTTGTGGTTACATCCCTTTACTTGAAGATTTGTGTTGAAAGGGAGTTGTAGTATTTTTCTTGTACTCTATACAACATTTTCTCTGATTCTTACTTTTTATTTTGACATAATTTCTTTTACATTGTTTGTATATTTTCATAATTTTTGATGGACCTAGTAGCAATGTTTGTTCTGCATGAATTAACATATTCGTTAAACTTTAATATGTTTTCGTCAGCTAGGAGGCATCATTGAGCCAAATGATGGGAAGTGCCATTTAAATGAAGATGGAATGTACACACATTCTGCACTTCAGGACTATCCTTCAGTCTCACATCTCAGTCATAAAGTCAGAGAGAATGCCATCAACATAATCTTCGCAGTGACAGAACCCCAGCTAGAAGCATACAGACTCCTTACAAAGAACATAGATGGGGCAAAAGTTGGACACTTAACAGCCGACTCTTCCAACATTTTAGAACTGGTAGAAGAGCAGTACAAGGTAAGACTCATCTTAGCATTTGCATATAATAACAACTAAGATTTCTTTTACTACTTCTGGACACTGTAACCCATTTCAGGCCTTGACTTCATCTAATTTCAGAGGTTTTCTAAACACTATTCAGATGGATAGTTAGATACCATAGCTTGGGGATCAGTTCATCATGAAGCCTTCACCCAAACAAAGAAAATCATGTACAAACATCCATATGCCAGGTGAAATTAAAATGCAATTCTAGTGTTTCCACCAGGATGTGAAGGACAGAAAATTAGCCAATTAAAAGTATGTGAACATTTTAATAAGCTGTCTTTATTAACAGCTTCTCAGGGATGGGTTGCATATTTTAATATTTGTGTACCACTCTGAAAATGTTATTTAGAAAATTAGTTAGGTGTTGTCCCAATGAAGAAGACTTGTCTTTCTGGATGTTGTGTTGTTTTCTTGTCTCAGAAATTGACCAACGTTTGAGGGGTGCTTACTGCCTCCATCATTAGGGCAGTCATCATTCCTTGTTAGATACTAGGTCTGCTTATTGCATTTAAACAAAATCTGGGGGTGATTTCATACACTATGGGGATTCTTCTGTTTCAATTGCAGTTACACATTAAATTAAACATACCACACCATATAAAAGTAGTTCTGTATAGTGTCTTAAAATTGTCAATAAAATAAGCAATTTATTTTTCAAGACAATTCATACACCTTGTACCTGCAATACAGCTACAGAAATCTTTTTGTAAGGTTTTTAATACAAATATTTTGCAGAAAATTTCGTCATCAGTTGATATGAGGCATGATGCCCCAGAACATATCCAGGTTATGTATTACACCTCATGCCAGAGTTCGTCTGATGAAATAAGACAGTCGAACAAATGTGACAAGCTTCAAATTGGAGAGGAAGTGGAATTTCGTGTGGAAATCAAAGTTCTCCATTGTCCAAACAATCGAAATGACTGGAAGCAAACTTTCAAGATTTTCCCTGTTGGAAGTCAAGAAGCAACACTTGTTCATCTTGAAATGAACTGTGATTGCCCTTGTGAGCACAAAGAAGATCATGTAAGTATCATCTATATCTTACTGTAGTGTGCCACAAAACTTAGGTTGACTACACTTGTTTTTAGTACCATTATTTTACTTCATAGTATGGTTATATATGCATTTAATATTATGTGCAACAGTGGAACTTTAGATGATGAAATCCTCTCAGGCTATCACCTACATTGATTTTGATTATCCAAGATGATTTTTGCCATGTAAGCTTAGAGTCAACCATTTGTGAACACATTTCAGTAAAATGGCAGGTGTTCTGAGCTCTGGTTTCACATTGTACATTAAAAGTAATGTTATACAAATCTTCCTTTTGCTAGTACATTAAAATACATTTTTGGTATAATAATTAATGAATTCATGTGGTATTAACAAAGATGTATACTTTCTTGTACCTGTTGTTCTTCCAGCTATACAAAGAAAATGCTGAAGAATGTTCCAGCAATGGCACCTACATGTGCGGAGTCTGTGACTGTAATAACATGCATTTTGGGAAAAAGTGTCAGTGCAGCTCAATTCAGCCACTGTCTGCAGGAATTGGAATACCCAGCGATTGTTTGCCCAGCACAGATAATCTTCCTATTTGCTCTGAACATGGAACTTGCACCTGTGGAGTTTGTCAGTGTGAAGAGGTATTAACCCTGTTTGTTTATCCATTTTTGTCATTCTTTTAAAATTTGTTGGGAATTTTTATAGTCACCACTTAGTAAAAATTTATTAAAAAATGGATTAAAGTTGTAAATTTGTTATGCAGTTGAGGCAGATGTTTATCTTTCTGTGTATAAATTCAGATGCACATAATTATCCTATATAAGAAAATTACATTAGTCAAGACAAGAAAACTAAATTCTGCTAAGACATTGCGTTTTAGACTTTGGAAATCAAATGGAAAGTAAGAAGTTCTGAACTGCATGGTAACAAGCATTCCCAGATGTAGTTTGCTGTTTGTTTTCTTGTGAATGCAATTCAAATCTGGTAACTTGTCAGTATCATTTATAAATGTCTGAGCTTTGCCACATTTTCAAAGGATTTATCAACTACCCTTATATAATGATTTTGTCCTGCAGTATGGTGATGAGATATGAACATGTGCTTAGTTTTCTGTGCATCTTCCATACTGGCATTGAATATAGCTTCTATGATTTTATTTGTGATATGTATGCTTTCACCCAGTAAATTAACATTGTCAGCAATAATCCAGAAGGTCACTGCTATTCACTTTACTACAAAAGCCTCAAATGTTGTAAGTTTGTTGTTATAATTGCAGACATTCTATGGCAAGTATTGTGAATGTGATGACTCGTCATGCAGGCTGGCAGATGGTGAGCTGTGTGGTGGACGTGGTACCTGCAAATGTGGGAAATGTCAGTGTGAAGCAGGCTGGACTGGTGAGGCCTGTGAGTGTTCGCTTTCTACAGAGAACTGTAAAGCTGATGATGGGAGTGCACCCTGCTCCAACCATGGCCACTGCAAATGTGGTACTTGTAACTGCAGT